AAAAAAAGTTAAACAAGACACAAATTTGTTTGTATAGTTTCACTCTGCAGGCCTTGCTGCCTGGAAAGTATCATCAGTTTTCTCAAGTGCTGTTCTCCAAACCCACTACTCTCCAACACACAGAGCTCGCCTCGGCAGTCCATGCAAAGCCCAAGTAAACACACGTCTCGGGTGGTGCGCTCAATTTATCCCCCACCCCGCCCTTTCTGCTCAAGATTTGACCCGAAAAATTCCATAATTATGGCATAGCTCCGTAGAGTGCTATACGTCTGTTTATACAGGCCACATCATCATCATCATCACCATCATCATTAACATCATCATCGTCATCGTCATCGTCATCGTCATCGTCATCGTCATCGTCATCGTCATCATCATCATCACCATCATCATCATCAACATCAACATTATTGTCCTCATCATCATTATCGTCTCCTACACATGATGCACATCAAAAATAACACCCATGCCTCTAAACCCGGTGTTTTCAACACAAGTAGTTTTCAACACACTTACCACTTTCATGATGGACTTTTCCCAGGCTACACAGTCATACAGCATAAACAGGCACATGGCCAGCTGAGAGGCAGACTGTGAGGTGACAACTGCATTACGCCATATCTTTAGTGCAGGGGTCATCATTTCCATATCAACCCTACAAATGATAACACCACTCTAAGTTTCAACAAATTTCAATTTGTTACACATTCCTACAACACTATATATTCCAATTTCCTCAACTTGAAACAATTTTCCAGGATTACCAGAACTAAAAGAAAGACTTTGGGCCCTTTCCATTTGATGAAAAATTCTCGTGTGAATTTACAGAAATTTCCTGTGGCAAATGGAACAGCATTTTCCGGAATTTCTGGAAAAGAAGACAACCTTTGCAAGGTACAGTTGTATATCCCAATTATTGTGAAATTTCATAAAAGTAGTTTCCATTCCATTTGATTTTAACCTGGAATTTCCAGAATTTTCGGTTGAATGGTTCGCTTTTCAGAAATTTCCGAATTTTCTGTAGAACTTTCCCAGAAAATTTCCGTACCATTTGTCCTTGTTTTAAAAATTTCGGAAATTTACTTGAATGGAAAGCGCCCTATGTAAATACCGTGGAACATAGATTCAAAATCAAATGCATAAATTAATGTCACTTACTCCATCTTTTCTGCTTCTTTTGGTTGCCCATCCTCTATAAAAATAAAACAAATGGAAAAACTATTCGCAAGTTGCTTGAAAAAATCTTATCACAATTTAAAAACAAAGAAAATAGTGGTGACCAAAATGTTACACCTAACAATTTTCCACAAGGGATAAACAAATAAATCAACCAGAACCAAGAAAACTCAAGTTTTCCAAACAAGACCCATGCAAAAAAACCATTGTTGACAGAAACAAACTTACCCGTAGGTACCTCCCCTGGGGCAGCTGCTGTACCAATATTTGCAGGAATGTGTAGTTTACTGGAAAAAATATACATTCACAACAGTTTAACACCTGAATTTGAAATTAATGTTCACATGTTAAATGGTACATTCAACCTTTAAATTCTATTCATTTTTTTCAAAGACTTTCTAAACTCCTGCTGAAGATTAGACCATTTTCATATTCTCGGTATTGGACTGGAACTAGCTTGCAAATGAGGCTAATGCGGGGAGTCTTTTCACATGCAAATGACATTAATCTCTTTTTATTGATATTAGCCCCTTTTGAGCCTCCATTACAAGCTAGTTCCAGTTCAGTAATGGCCTATTTGACTTGCAGCCACAAATGTCTTGCTGATTACTGGATGGAATAAAGCAGCAGTGACTTACTCATTTCTCAGGGGATGCTTCAGATAGCGTCTCTCTATAGCCTGCTCCAATGCCAGCAGTCTTGTTATTGCAATTGCTAATGGATTGTCCTCAGAACTTGTTTCTATGTAAATTAAAAGGAAGTGTAATACTTAAAGCAAGAAGAAGGAAAACAATCTATTGTAAAAGATAAACATATGGAAAAGGTAATCTGTTCATGCCACAATTCTGCCAGTGCTTGAGAGGAACCACCACAAGGTGCTATGTACGTAGATCCAAAAAAGACATACATGTAATGAGGCTAACATTCTGCAACAGTTATTTTGCAAACTCACTCTATTTGCACCACCAAAGGGGCCAAAGTTTTAGCACTAGAGAATACTTGGTGTAGATCACCACAACTGAACATATATGTATAAATAATGATCATAAAACCAATTTTATTCCATGCAACATTACAAAAGTTACACAATCCTAATCAATACAAACACTGAATACCAATTTGGCAAATCCTTGAACAGTATATAAGCTATGATTTCTAAAACTTTTACCGGAAAACCTATAAAAGTGTATGATTCACTCACCAGACATTGGATTATGACTAAGGCCCTTTGAAGCTTTAGAAGGCAACCTCCAGCCCTGAAACAAACAAGTTTCCTACTTTAGCTAAAACAACCTTACAGTAAAGAGAGAATCCGATGAGTGGACACCTCAACCATTCCAATTACAATCTGCTTGAATTTTCGCTTTTTCGTCAGTACTTCTTAATCGTGCTAACATTGCCATTGATACAGCAAAGCCAACTGAAACTGTTCAGGATCTACTTGACGATCAGTTGTACCAGACTTCATGTACATGCCATATTGAGCTGGAAATACAATGCCAGAAGAACAGCAGTAAAACTGCCCAAAACATTTTAAAAACATTTTAACACCTAAAAGTCCCCTTTAGAGCAAGATCTATTTACTTTATTTCTTTATATGTAAACAGGAGAGGTTCTGAAAGTTTCAGAAAAAAACTATTAAAAATTACCTTGACTTGCAAACTTGCTTGAAATACTTTCTCTTCCATTTCCTCAACTTCTCTAAGAATAGCTTTGTCAACCGCAAATGCTACCTCAGGAAACATTTTATCATCAATGGGATTGCCTTTGTTTTTCTCAGAACATGACAACTTCTCTGGTGTCTCATTGTCATCATCCGAATCACTCTCAACTTTAGTTTTCATGAAAAGAGAAACAAAAGATACTTGTTAATTGAAAATATTCAGTTATGAAATGATCAAGGAATTGAACTCAACTTTAATTAAATTGTTATGTCCATGCTTTTGTCTCGTATTTGTGGCAGCATGAAGGTATTGCATCATGACCCCCCCCCCCCCCCCCCCCCCCCCCCCCCCCCCCCCCCCCCCCCCCCCCCCCCCCCCCCCCCCCCCNATCACCCCATCATCCCCAAAGAATTGTCTGGTTCCTCTTCAACAGGCATTTACTTTTCTACTCTTAGGTGGAGAGAAACAATGAAGAGTACAGTGCCTTGTTTAAGACCAAAGAACAATGAACTCTGCCAGAGTTTTATCCTGGACCTCTTGATCCAGAAAACAATGGAATAAGCAAGGCCACTTCACCTCATAGCAAACGTCACTGCAAGGTTTTAAAACAAAATTAACACAAGGCTTTGCACAAGCCAGAGATAATCACAATTTACTGACATTTTTGTTACATTGAACTTTACGTACCTTGATCACCCTTTGTACATGAGCTGTTGGCATACTCTGAATACTTCTGGAAATTCTTTTGAAGAATCTTTTCTCTTATTCCTCTGCACAGCAAAACAATGCCAAACAAGATTGATTTAAAACTACCATAGCAGATTGTAAAAGAGGAGTTATAAGGTGGAAAATGAATGGTAAGTCATAAAAGGAATAAGAATTGAGCACGACTGTTTCACTTACCTTGAGTGTAGAATTTTAACAAGTTCCTTCAGTTGTGATGGTTCTGTTATTCTCCACCAGCCATGTTGCAACTCTAAACAAAGAACAAAACAACCAATAACACCTTCTCCTTCTAACTAACCTATTCACATGTCAAGGCAAAACATAATTTAGATTGGCTCACTATTGAAGGGCAGACACTGGACAAACAGATAAAACTGAGTTCTCACCAGGAATCAAGGGTCAATTGCGGACTGGTTTTGTTATTGTGCCGATCCCTATTGTAGCAATTTTTATCCAATTACTTAAAAGATGTGCCACTAACAATATCTCCTTCCACTTTTGCTCATTGAGTTAGCACCATGAATATAGGATTTCAGCCGAGGACAGCAACATGTAGTAATATCATTTGTACACATGGTGTTTACCAATTACCAATGAGCAGTAATTTAACATCATGCTGTTCATTTCAAATTTTCCTTAATTAAAAGTGTTGTTCTTTGGCACTCTCAGCACAAGAACAGGCTAAAGAGTAATATATTCAAGTTCCAAACTTAATTATTTTTACTAATAAAGCGTAAGTATAATCATTTACCAGGTGGAATTGGTGCAGGTTCCTGCATCAGGGACTCCAGTACATTCCTCTTCAACTCCTCAAATGACAGTGACATAGTTGAAGCTGACTGTGTGCTAAGTGCCAAGGTAGATGTCGGCATATTGCCCTGGGGATGCCCATCCACATACACCAAGTTCAAAGTTTGGTAAGATGACTTAGGTGGCCGTCCAGGGGGCCTCTTCATGGGTAGCTGAGGAAGAAACTGAATGGTGGCTGCTTGATGAACTACACCTTGTGACAAAGAGCTAGGGCCAGCTTGACGATTTGCACTTTCATAATTTGTATTGGAAATCCTAGGTGGTCGGCCAGGTGGTCGTTTCAATGGAGGCGCACTCATAATGTCTGTATCACCTCTCTTACTGTACGTGGGGACAAAGTGCCCACTGTTGTGGGTATGGGAAAGAGTCAGTGAAGATTCGTCGCAAGGCATGCGTGGAAGGAGACTAAACCAAGAATTTCTTTCCTGAGCTCGCTGTACATTAGAATGCTTTTGCTGAGTGAAGCCAGACTTAGAAGTTGATGCCTCATTTCTAAAGAGGTTTTCAATTCTCTGGATTTCCAAAGCATTCCTATTTGCTGCAGATGTAATGTGTGTGTTGTGGAGCTTTGGCTGAGCGGGCTGGGTCTGTGAACCTCCGTGATGGTTATTTACCTCAACCTTGTTGTCGCCTGATGAGGCCATACCTGTATTATTGTCTGCTTTGAGAACACTTTCCGAGGAAGAACGAACAGGTGATTTAAGAGGAGATTTAAGTCCTGTTGGAGACTTCAAGCCTGCGTCAGCTCCTGTGTGATTTTCTGCCCCTGCATCTCTACATGGTTCTATTTTTTGTCCTTCCTTTACACCGTCAACTTGCATTCCTTCATGCTTGACCTCAGAGTGATTGATGTCTTCACCCTCGGGTTTCCAGTCGAGGACAATTTCTTTTTCAGCTGTGTCCATTCCCTCAACAAAGATTCCTCCTCCATGAGGCAGAATCCAGTAACGTCTCTTGTACCGATCCTGACCCAGACAAAGTGCTCGCAAGGCATGAGAGGAACCAAACAGTTTGGAACGAAACTTTGCATGTTTCTGTAAGGTAAGTTTTAAATTAAGTGTTATTTGCTTTATTTCAATGCAGCCAAGTTAAATTGTGGATTAAAAATAGAGTAATGCAAGAGGGGCATTTAACAAGAACATTTCACAAAAACTAAAAGTAGTCACTCTACATTCTTTTCTCACCTTCTCAAATTTCTTCAGCCTCCTTTCAAGTTCCTCTTGAGTTGTGGGCTCAGCTCCATCCTAAAAAATATAATTTCCTTTGCTTAAAATTTCTGTTTTTCTTTTAACTTTTTTCTTGTGCATATTCATAGTTTTGAGGTATAGAGTGGCATGGAAGCCTGAAGGTAGCCACACACAAAGGGACATGTTACTTTAACAGCAGAAAACCTCACATACACTCTATGTACTAAACACACAAGGAAATCTATCAGTTACATTTTGACACTACACATACCCTTGAGCCACAGGAAGTGTTGCTGCAACATATCTTTGCTACATTTTCCTTTGGTGTATGTAGTTTTGATTTTATCACTGTGACATGTCCCTTGGTGTATGTCAACCTTAATGAAAGTCATTAAGCCCTGGGTGTTCGGCAGCTGATTAATGTAACCTATCATGTGAGTTCTGGAGCGACAGCCTTCAGCAAGTGAAATATTCAATACAATAGTCCAGCAGAAAGCTCCTTCCTGACTCAACATTGATCACAATGACAACTCATCTTCACTCACATCATCTTCCTCAGACTCCTCACTGGACTGCGTTCCATCACCACCTCCCTCCCCATCATCATCATCATCATCGTCCTCATCGTCCTCTTCTTCTTCCTCTTCCTCCTCATCTTCTTCATTCCCCTGCATACTGTCATCAGCTATGGAGTTGCTGTTCTCTCCCTCAGGGTCAGCAATGTTGACATCAGCTCTCGGACGGCCTGGAGGCTTCTTCACCTTTACAACTGGGTACTTTTCAGCTTGAATAGCTTTCAGCCTGAATCAGACAAGGAATCACAAGTTTCTCTCATTAATCTTAATATTAAGAGTTCTTACAGAACTATAGATTAGGACAAACAGTACCAAGCAGCCCTCCAGTAGACTTTGGAAGCCTTGTTTTCTAGAGAAAGTGATGGGCAGTTCTTGCTAATGATATTCCTCACATTATATTAGGGAAGTGGCAAGTTAATTTAAGTTGTTCGTGGTTTTATATCCATTGACTTCTCATGACAAGTTTTATTCTGGCAATCTGTAGAGCAAAAGATTAGAGATATGTAATACTGAGATACTCTTGTGGTAAAAAATACACCATCAAATGAGAGCTACTGTGTTCCCAAGTAATTCCTGCAAGTGAAATCATGAATAATTACTTCATTACATTAATACGTAAATGACTTACTTTCGTATTTTGCCTTCCACCACCCACTTTTCCCGCCGTAAATTGGACATGTGTTCGATGCTGCTTTCAATTTCCCTGAGAAATACATAGTAAAAATTCAACAACACTGACATTAACACTATTAGACACAATTAGACAGACTAAAACCAGTGACGGTAAATCTCTGATGCAGTACCTGTGTCAGAAACAGTAAATACAGCACTAACCTTAAATTATAGTACAGCAGAAGTAAAACTTATAATGAACATACCTGCAGATAGTTCTGCTACAAAGCAGCTCATTGCACAGGTAAGCCATAACTCCAGCCTTATCTGACATTGTTAGGGCTTGGAATGGGGTGCTCAGCAAAGCATCTGAGAGCTGGTAGATAGTATAACAGAATTAGTATGGCAGGGAATGTATGGACTGTCCACTGGGAGCATAAAGAAGTGGCCGTTAGTGGAGGTTCAACCGTATGACTTTCTTTTGCTGTCAATACCTTATAAATTTCTCTTATTCTTAGTTTGGATAATTATATCAAAACAAGCTGATGATTCTTTGTCATCCTTGTAACATGTTTCAGATAGACTATGTGTTGACATTTTTTGACATTTTATGTTTTTTTTATCAGAATTTTCTTTGTAATTATATTGCAAAGCTCTGTAAAAAGAGCACAATAATGTGAAATGGACACTGTGGGTAACCAAGGATTTTATTATGTTATTATTTTATTTTATATTGAAAGCAGAAATCAGTTATATTCAAACATAATGTTTGCAAGTGTAAAAGAAAATACAAGCAGCTAAAAAAATTTTCAAGTAATGATGTTCCTCACCGGGTGTGGATCTCCAGCATTTCTTGACAATATAAAAAGTCTAAGAACTTCTGAGAAATTTGCCTCATTCAGCTCCACCTTGGCTAATGCAACCCCTAACGTTGTAAAAGACTGTTGAAAGATGACAAAAACGCCAGTCACAATTTAATACTACATTTATTATGATGCTGCACTTGACAAATTCATGTTCACTTGGTAAGAGCCAATGCATTGACTGCATTTTTTTACTAGTTGGTGATTTACAACTTTAGTATCTGTTAGTGCCTGTTAGAATAGATCCCATTTTGACATAAGGCAATATAATTTGACTGAACTTAAACATATTAACTAATCCAGAGTTAAAAAAAGGAATATCGCTGAAATTGAGACATGTTAAAGACTTCAACGGAAGGGACAAGAAATACATTGCAGACCAAACTTTTTTTAACTCAACTGCTCTGGACAGAGTAAAGAAGACAACATGCACTTTTTTTGCCAAAAACTATTTTAATACTCACATTGGGTCCCTCACATCCTGGATCCTCTAAAGCAGAGATAAGTAGACTTTGACACAGAGGCACCAGAACATCCTCACTGCTGTCATTTAACAGGGATGATTGCATCTCCCACAAAGAAGGGATCTCAGAAGAATCTGAAGACAAAAATAAAATATTCAGGGCAACACTAATCATGGTGAGGGTGTAGGGAGTGGTTATCATTCTGGGGCAGATTTGGGGGGAGGGGGCAGATTGGGTGGCTAGCAACCCATTTTTGGAGAAGCAAAAATAAAACAAAATTGATTATGGCAGAAATAAAGGCAAACTCTCTGGACAGGTACCTCATTGTAATTTCTACTTTGTGGTATAGCTAGTATTTCTAGTGTAACAAGTTTTAACTAGGTTCCAATTCTCAAACTGAAACATTT